CCCTCATTCCAGCCATGCTAATGGCCTTGCTGTGCCCTGAACATTCCAGGCAGGGCCCCACCTTTGCTCCACCTGATCCCTCTGCCAGGAACTCCTGCCCATCATAACTCACAGCTATAGGTTAAAGTGGAGTCCTGGTGTGGCACTGTGGGTTAATGCGCTAGACTGCAAAGTCATTTGAACTGCAGAGCCAGTGGTTTAAGCTCACCAGGCGCTCCTCAGAAACCCTATACAGGGTCACTATGGGTTGGACCAACCTGACAGCACTTAACAACAACAGTAACAACATGGTTAATGCACTGGACTGCAAGGTTGGTGGTTCAAGCTTACTAGCTGCTCCTCGGACTATGAATTGGAACTGACTCGACAGCACTTAACAACAACAATAACAACATACCTTTAGAAAAGAGTTTGTCACAGATGAGATACTCATCAGATAGCTGCTGATAGATTTCATGGTTAAAGAATAAACCAATGAGATAAACTTACAGTGGTACATCCAGACAATGGAATACTATGCTACCTTGAAGAATAACAAGGAGGCTGCAAGCCACCGCATAACATGGATGAACCTTGAGGACATTATGTTGAGTGAAATTAGTCAGTCACAAAAGGAGAAATACTGCATAGGACCACTACTGTAAAAGACTAAGAAAAAGGACCCATACTAAAGGTGGGGGGATTCTTTGCTGGCTACTGGGATAGTGTGGGGGGGGCTGAGGGGAGGGAGGAGACGGTGGAGCACAAGGTAGGGAATAGAAGATAGTTTGGGTGCTAGGGAGGGGGGCAATATACAAGAAGGGGAAGGGGAATGGAAGAACAAAGTGGATGGGAAAACAATTAGGCAGGTTTGCATGGGCTAAGTGGGACAGAGGTAAATCATGATGTATACACAACCTTGGAACAACAGGGCTCTGGGATACAGAGATTGAGACATGGTTGGAATGGGGAAAAGGGGGGAATAATGTTAAGATGCTTGGCTGTCTTATGAATCTTGGTTTCCCTGGCATACCATTATAAAATACACACTTTAGGGGAGAGAAAGGAATAGCCAGAAATATCACCATAGAAAGCTTGTAAGTCCATCTTCTGCCTAAAACTGATTGGAATACCTAAAATGGGTCTACAATGTGCCCAGTGAAGGAGGCTTCCTGCGGAGCCTCTGCATTACATAAGACTATAGGTGGAAGCCTGAACCACATCCAGAATGTTCAGAAGTGGGAAATTCCCACTTGAAAGGACAAGCAGACCAGCTTGGAGTGGCTAGCAGAACAGAAGATACTTCTTGAAAGAAAGACTGACAGGAAAAATACAAAACAATATAGGCAGACCAACTGATTACTATAAGAACAAGCAAGTTGCTTGTCCAGGAGACAGCAAGGCAAGTGGTCAGGTCCCCTCAGGGCAAACCCCCTTCCAAGACTAAGACTTAATGGGAATACATGCTCTGATTGGCGACCACGTTCGTCACCGATAAGGGGAAGTGAGAGAAAAACAGCAATGAAGTTGCGAGCTAAGCCCTACAATGTTCAATAGACTCTTGTGAACCCAGGTGGAGACCTGGTTGGCCAGCAGCGTGGCAAGACCTGGTGACTCTTGGGCCCAGAGTCAGTGACATAGCCACAGAGGACTAGAATGGAGAGTGAAGCATTCAGCTGATAAGAAGAGAGGGCATATCCATAAGAACACCCACACTTGCAGATAATGCCCACTTGACCTGGCTTCAATGACTGGATGATCAGAGCTCAACTAGAAGAAGACAGAAGAGGGAAAAAAGAGTAATCTAATAATAATTTGATAAACTTGACCTACACCTATGGATGCAGTAGCTCAAAAGAGGAAACAAATCTTTACAACGAGGATCATTCCCGCCCCCTCCATACACAGAGTAGACAGGGATGGGCAACTTGGACATTGGATACCCAAAATGGGGGGCTTCAAAGGCAAAAAGTGACTGGCTTACAAGTTTGCAAGAGGGAATCTAGATCCAGAGGGCGTGGAGGAAGGAAGAATCTCCACTGAGTAGTATCCAGTCTGTCTAGGCGGGGCTGATGAAAGGAAATGCAGATAGGTCTCTTGTGAAACAATAGTGAATAATTGTTATCAGGACTGATTGTGAGGGTTGGAAATGTAAAGGTAGATTAGATGTTTTGTAACAAAAGGAGGGGAGTAATTAACTTTGCAATCTAGGAGTGGAGGTCCCTGGGACCATCAAGGGAGAAGAGCGGTGTGTGGGACCCTACCCAGAGAAGCAGTGATGCCAGAGATGGAGGCAGAGACAATGACGTGGAGAGATGGTGCAGCTGGGGACTTTAGATCCAGAGAGGGAGAGGGGCTGTGTGCTGATGACTGGGAATGAGGTTTGGGGAGGGGGGCAGGCTTTTAGGTTATACCCTGTGGTTGGTTGATGATGCATGGAGGGGATTGTAACAATGGCAATGAAACGATATATGATAGGATGAATGTATAACTAATGTTCTCCCATGTAAACTATCACATAACTCACAATAAAACATTAAAAAAAAATGAACCAATGAAATAAACCAAGCGGTGGTGGAGGTTAAAGAACAGAAGAATGAATGAATGAAACAATGAAGTGACAGTTTAGTCAGGTGGTTAAGAGTGTGGGCTGTTCATTCAAATACCAGATCAGGCACTGAATTTTGAATTACTTGGACTTGTTGAGCCTCAGTTTTCTCATCTGTAAAATGGGAATAAAAATAATAGGATCTATGACATAGGAGCATCTCAAAAATTAAAGAAAGGAGAGAGTGTCTATAAACCAAGTGCCAAGTTTAGTAGGTGATCATGCCCTACTGTGGACTACGGGTGGACTATGGCAGCAGTGGCCTGGCCACGTCCCTGCCTGACTGGTCCTGCTGTTCTCAAGTCACCAAGGACTTGTCGTCAGACTTGGCTGCAGGCCCAGCACGCTGTCCCTGGGCACTGGCTCTGTATCTCAGGATGGCCCCAGGATAACTTCATGGCTCAGGCACTCTGGGAATTTCCTGGCAGGAAAGTTTCTGTCGCCTGGGCACGAGGACAATGATGGGTGGGTGACATTGGTCAGAGATGGCCTGGAACAGAGCCCTGGGAAGAAGGCTGACTCATCCCCATCCAGGGGTATCTGGGGTCTGGGCTCAGCCATATACCTACCAGGGCAAAGAGCCGATTCAACCTCTGGTCTGCCTCAAGGGCCATCCACTCACAGCCCCTGTGGCCCAAATGGACCAGGTCGTTCTGGCAATTCCAGCTCAGTTTGGGGGCACTGAAGGAGTTAAGAGATGGCCTCAAGCAACCTTTTCCTCTATCAGAAAGCACCATCCTAACCTCAGTACTCACTATTTGGCCTATGCCCCCATTTTACAGGTTAGGAAACTGAGGCTTAGAGGAGTGATATACCTGCCAGGACCCAGCCCAGACAGCCCGAACTTTTGCTTTTTAAACGGAACTTGGAAAGCAGACTTTGCTGACTGGGAATCCGTCCACGAGCTGTCAGATGGAGAGGCGCAAGGTTTCCGGCTAAATGCAAGACCCGGACCTCCCAGCATGCGCTAGGGCATTAAGGCAGAAATCGCATGTTATCAATGCTTTACGTGTTTCTTCCCTTCACCTGCCCCATCTTGTCCTACAGGACAGGAGTTGAGAAAGGCCAGGGGAAGGACCCATAGGACCTCACAGAACAGCCAGAGTTCAGACAGGCTGAAGGGGCTGGGGTTACCATCCCGCACGCCTCTTAGGCCCTCGCAGAAGTGCGCGCGCGCACACACAAACGTGTGCAGGTGTCTATACATAGAGACTCCCGCCCTCCCCTCATACATGCAGGCATTCCCGCACACACACCTCCCCTCTACCCCTTCACACACACACACATGTAGGCACGCACGTGTGTCCCCACGTCTGGTATGGAGTTGGCACATTCACAGGCCTCTTCAACTCGGGCTGGGCTGCCATCCCTGCCAACGCCCAACCCTCAGATCCCACGGGCCTGGCTTTGTGCCTATGTCTAGAGCATTCGTACTTGTCTCCAAGTGGTTGCTGACCCTCACCCCTCCTCGAAGTTGGGAAGAGGGGCATTTCCCCCAAACAAGTCCAGCAAAGACTGCGCAGTGCAGGGACTAAAGCAGTGGGCAGAGAGCAGGCAGCCCTGACCAGAAGGGGGCGGGCAGCTGGAACGCGAAACCTTTTCTCTTGCTGCCTAAAAGGCTCCCCATTAGGAAGTCATCCACTTGAAGACTTTCCTGGTACCCAGTGCCTGGAGCTTGGATGATCAAGGACAGGACATTGTGGACCCCGTCCTGGTGGACAAAGGGAAAGGAATAGCATTCCAAAATGCTCCTCCTCTGCCCGCCTCCTACCAGCATCCAGTTTCACTGGGCCAGGCCACCATCCTTCTTGGCCAAGAAAAAGCCAGGATCCCCAGGGGCCAGTCTGTTCCCGGGGAAACTATGCTTCCGGAGGGGCCCACCCTGGCTGGTTGGCACCGACCTCCCACGTGCAGCTGCCAGCTCAAGAGAAGTGACTCACTGCCCACCCTCCACCCCGCCCCCAGACACTCACAGCAGCTCTGAGGAAAGCTACCGACCTCTCATCCCTGGCCAGCTCTGCTGCCCAGCCCTCAGCCTCTGACCGCACCTCCTTGCCCTGCTCTGGCACCCAGCAAGCACCCAGCAAGGGGGATCTGGCCCGAGGGACCTAAAACTGAGACAGGGAACTTGAGAGCAACAGGAGGGCCCGACGTCCACCACGACACACCCACCCGAGAGCCCCCTCCTACCCTACAGACCTGCCTCAGCCCGGCCTTGGTACAAGGTCCACCCTAAAGGGTCCCGGCAGACCCCTACCACTGTCTGTCAGCCCACTCTGGCTGTACTAGCAGATCAGAGGTCACGCGGGGAGGAAGGATGCTCAGTCCGGCAGGTGAAGCGGGGTGCAGCACCCACAAACCAGGCCAGAGCGAACAACAGTAGGCTGGGTCACCGCGGCGGGGGCTTGCTTACCGTGGCGTCCTCGGCGCCGTGGTGGCCAATGAGGCGGCTGCCCCCTGGATGCTTCTGCGTCCAGCGGCTAATATCGTAAACGCGACGTTCGATGACCAGCCACTTGTCGCCGGGCAAGTCGTGCGTGCGGATCTGCTCCCAGCGGAAGGTGGGCAGCGGCATCCCCCGCGGCCCCGGCCCCCTATCGGGCTCCCCGACGCCGCCCATGGCCGCGTACCCAAGTCCGCGGGACCCTGGATGTGTCCGAGCCGAGTCCAGGCTAGAAGCTGCGCCCCAGGTCGCGGTCCCGCGCTGCCGCCGCTGGCCCCGGCGCGCGCCCCGCCCGTGCCGTGCGGCCGCCGTACGAACGCGCGCCCGCTGGTCTCCGCGCAGGAACTTTGCTTGTAACGGACTGACAGCCGCTCGCCCTCTGTACAGCCGTCACCGCTGCTATTGGTACGCACCCGGCCCCGCCCCGGAGGGCCACGGTCTGGCCCCGCCCACGCGGGGGACCGGGGACTGGACCCCGCCTCTCCCCGCCCCCTCCACCTCTCCCGCGTCCATCCCTCCCTGCTCGGCCACGAGGGGGCTGGGGGCTGTGTGTGAGGATGAGGACCCTGGCGTTTCCAGCCGCGAGTCCTGGAACACTCAGTCGTGAGCGCACAGAGATGGGGGACACTAGCTCCAGGTGACTGTAAACAGCCTTCAAACAATGACTCTTCTTAGGGCCAGATTACTCAGTAAACAAGATGCTGCACGGGTCCAATTGTGCCTTTCCTCCCACCTGCGGTGCACAGTTCCACCTGTCTCCATGTGGTGAGACGCATGTTGTTAAGTGTGTGGAGTTGGTTCTGACTTAGAGCGACCCTGTGTAGGGTTTCCGAGGAGCAGCTGGTAGATTTGAACTGCCGACCTTGTGGTGGTTCTCAGTCCAGTGCTGATCCTACAGAACCACACCAATGAAATCCGTGTGGACCTCGCTCAAGGCAAACCGAAGTATACCGTGTTCACTGGTAATTCGACCCCAACTCCTCCATGTCTGCCGGGTTGTTCTTCAGTAAAATTCTGTACCATGAATTACATTCTCTGCGTTGTGCAAGCATTCTCACCCTGTTCTTCTAGGTTGTGTCTCCCTCATTAGCATAAACTCTCTGCCCCTAAAGTGCCTATTCAATCTTTCCAGTTGGGGTCCTCAATTTGACCCCACATACATAAGAGTTTACATTCAAGGCTGATCTTGTATTTACAAGTTAAGCTAAACTACTGTCCAGTTTTAAGATGTCTTTAGGGGATATTTTTGGCTTAGGTTTAAAAGTTATGTCAGGACAATAATTTCATCATCCACGCTTCATGACTCCAGAAACTCTGGATTCCATAAGACTTTGAAATTCTGTTCTGCATTTCCCCCCCTTTGATCGGAATTCTTTGGTAGAATCTTTGATCAAAATGTTCAGTAATGATACCTGGGCACCATCCAGTCTTTTAGTCTCATGGCAAAGGAGGCAGATTGCTCAGGAAGTCAATTCTCCACACATTCCATATCCCCCTCCTAAGTCCTGACTCTCCTTCCTCTGTCACACCAGCTGTATAGAGACCATTTGTGCCTCACGTGAAGACACCAGGTGCTAAACAAGGAATTCAGAGGTAGAAGGGAAGCACTAACCATGTCATTAAGGAAATAACTGGGATGTCCCATGAAACCATGACCCTAAGCCTCCAAACCAAGGAACCAAATCTCCTGAGTTGTTTGTTTGTTCATAAGGAACCCTAGCAGCTATTGTTTCTCCTTGGAGTGGTAGCTACGTCTCTACAACTTTAGCCAATTCAGTTTGGTTGACAGTCAATGTTATATGTCAAGTTAGTTAAGACATGATTCCCAGTATTGTGTGACTCTTCTCCATGTCCTGATCTGATGTAATTTTCCTTTATTTTGTGCTACTTATAATTATCTTCCATTTTCTATATATTGTAAATCCTAATCTCTACATAGGCTTGCTGTAGGATAAGTACTCCACCTTAAGGTCGGTTTCAACTACAAGGTCAGTGGTTCAAACACACCAGCCACTCCTCAGAAACCCTACACAGTGTCACTATGAGTTGGAACCAATTTGACAGCACTTAACACCAACAGCAACAACACACAGGACTCCTGGTGTGGCTCTGCAGGACCAGCACTGGACCAGCACGTGACCACAAGGTCAGCAGTTCAAACCCACCAGCTGCTCCTTGGTAACCCTGTACATGGTTGCTATGATTTGGAACTGACTCGACAGCATATAACAACAACAATAACAACCTCTCTATAGTGTAAGTTTTACAACATTTTATATCCTGACGCCTATATGTTAAACGGAGTCCTGATGTGGTGCTGTGGGTTAATGCACTAGACTGCAAAGTCGGGTTGAATCTCAAGGTCGAGGGTTCAAGCTCACCAGTTTCTCCTCAGAAACCCTATACAGGGTCACTATGAGTTGGAACCAACTCAACGGCACTTAACAATACCATACATTAATGAGTCCTGGTGTGGCGCTGTAGGATAAGCACTCGGCCATAAGGTCAGATTGAACCACATGGTCGGTGATTCAAACTCACCAGCCACTCCTCAGAAACCCCATATAAGGGTCACTGTTAGTCATAACTGACTCAATGGCACTTAACAACAACAATAACATAGATTAATGAGGCAGGATTAGTGTGGGGTATATCTTGAGCCACAGTCTTCCAAGAGAGTGTGACTTGAGTCTCACCCTTACACAAGTCTCACCCTAACTCTGAAATAAGCGGAGTTTCCATGGGGGCCCGATACACATTTAATATACCATATTTTCACCCAAATAACATGCTCATTTTATGGTTTTTCACCAACCACGCAATCCTCCTTGGTAGTTCTCCATACATGCTAAGCAATTTATATGTTTGTGCCCATTATCTATATGGGACTGCAAGGTCGGCAGTTGAAATCTACTAGCTGTTCCATGGAAACCCTATACAGGGTCACTCTGAGTTTAAACTGACTTGATAGCCCTAAACAAACAAACAAACAAATATGAAAGGAATATATGGTATATATGAGGGAGCTTCAAGAAGCTCATGGAAAGCATCCATGGTCTTTTCATTCCATTTCTCCATGAGCAGTTAGCAGTCCCGTCTTATGGATGCTTTGGCAAGACTTGCCCTTAGGTCCTGTATCCTCCAGGTCTTGGGACATGAGCTAACAACCTAGTGATACTGGGATCCATCAGCTGCTGCAGCCTGGTGAGTCAGTAGCTTTCTCTCTCTCTCTCTTAAAAGATAACAAAAATTTCCCACAAACATTTTGAAGTGCCCTCATATGTATGCACGTGCACACTTGTCTTAGTCTCATTAGGGTGTCTTCAAAAGAAAAAAGGTCCAGTCAAAAGAGCGGCTTCCAAGGGGTTCTGCTGGACCAGTACAATTCAAGACAGAGAGGTCAGCTCAGAAGGTCATGGTGACTGCTTCTTGGAATTCTGAAAGGATAATCTAGGATGCAGGATAATCATACATGCTTATTGGTGTTGTTAGGTGCTGCTGAGTCGGTTCCAATTCACAGTGACCTTTTGCACAACAGAACAAAACACTGCCCAGTTCTGCAATATCCTCACAATCATCGTTACACTTGAACCCATGCTGCTGCCATGTGGAAATCCATCTAGTCGGGGTCTTCTTCTTTTTCACTGACCCTCCATTTCACCAAGCATGGTGTCCTTCTCTAGGGACTGGTCCCTCCAGATAACATGTACAAAATATGAGAGACAAAGTCTTGTCATCCTGGCTTCTAAGGAGCATTCTGGCTGTACTTCTTCCAACACAGATTTCTTTGTTCTTGGGGCAGTCCATGGTATTTTCAATATTCTTCTCCAACACCATAACTCAAATGCATCAATTCTTCTATGGTCTTCTTTATTCACTGCCCAACTTTCACATGCATAATAGGGTATTGAAAATACCATGGCTTAGGTCAGGGGCACCTTAAGCCTCAAAGTGATATCTTGAACATTTTAAAGAAATCTTGCGCAAGAGATTTGCAATTTGTCATTTGATTTCTTGGCTGCTGTTTCCATGAGTATTGATGGTGGATCCAGACAAAATGAAGTGCTTATTAGGAAGAAGTTTTAAGAAGCTTGAGAACTGCATTGGTAAGAAAAGGCCAGAACGTTGCACCAAGGAATTTTTTCCCATCACAACACTATATCTGCTCATTCTTTGAGGGGAACAGGCGCTGTCCTGCAAGAATTTCATTGGGAAATCCTAGCACACCAACCTACAACCCTCATCTTCCCCCTTTAGACTTCTTTTTGGTCCCCAAATCCAAACCACTTAAACGGAACATGATTTGAATCCACCGAGAATGCCAAATCTGCTGTTTTGATGTGGTATAAATCAAAGACTGTAGAATGAATGCATCAAGGAAGGATTGGTGGTGGTTATGTGCTGTGGAGTCGGTTCCGACTCATAGCAATCCTGCATAGGGTTTCTGAGGCTATAAAGCTTTATGGGAGCAGAAAGCCTCATCTTTCTCCCATGAAACAGCTGGCAGTTTAAACAGATGGGAATATCACTTTAGAAGTATACAGACCTAGGCTAGGAAGCAAAGATTGAGAAACCCCTGTTGGCGTTGGAAACTGGAGGAGTTCATGAGCGCAAAAAGAGCAGTTATAGTGAGTTGGTGAAGACTGAAGACTGAAGACGGAGAGACGTGGCTTTAAGAGCAAATGCTGGATATAAGGAGCTCTAGTAGCGTAGTGGTTACAAATCAGGCTACGAACTGCAAGGTCAGCAGTTTGAAACTACCAGCTGTTTTGCGGGAGAAAGATGAGGCAGTCTGCTCCTGTAAAGATTTACAGCCTTGGAAACCCTGTGTAGGGTCGCTATGAGTCGGAACCGACTCCACGGCACACAACAACAACAATAGCTGTATATCAAGGTCTACTATTAACAAATACAATCAAAAGGTCTCATTTTGAAGACTTCAACAAGGTTCTAAGAAGATTTACAACTTATTAGGAGCCAATAATGTCAACAGAACCCACTATGCTGAAGGATTCACCTCTATCTTTGGAAAGCCACGAAATGGCACCTGCGACACCAAATGTCATTACAGAGCCAGGTAGCATGACTGTGAAGGACCCAGGAGCAACATGAAGAGTGCAGATAGAGAGAATGAGGAACTAGGGCCCAAGGATTCTGATCTCTCCAAAGACCATCAA